GACCTCTTTCAGATTTACACTAATGTGCTCAACGGGATCGTCCAAGCCCTCCCTGGCCCCCGGGCTGCCAGTGGGTGAAGCGGAGGTTGGTTTTCCCAGCTGGGTTTTGGGCTTGGTGAGGGCACCTCCTTGACAGCCATGGACCAGCTAAGAGAGGCTGGGAACGATACCTTCTACCATCCACTTACAGACACACAACACAAACGTTGCTGTTCTCTAAGAAGCAGCCCCAACACAGGCTTATTGCTAACAACACTTTTTATGAAAATATTTAAGCTCCTTTCTCACATATTTCCCCTACTAACTTTTCACTCGTCTGAAATATACTTGAACATGAAATCTGTATGTGTTAAATATATTTCGGCAGAGTCCCTCCTTCCCGATTAAGCACTAAAACTGAAATAAAACTAAGACAAGCTATTTCTCCATCACATGAAGTGAAGATGGCAAATTGCTCACAAATTAGAACACTTACTTCAAATACAATTAAAGTTACCCTGTTTCATGATGATTTTGTTTGTTGCAGTGGAAGAAGATGAAGACATCTTCCCAGCTACCAGGAACTACCCATCTCTTACATAAAACTGGTGCCAGGCTCTTGCAGATTCCTGGTGGGAATGCTAAGAATAGAAACATGCATGTAGGAAGCCCAGATTCATGGAACCAGCTTTTCAGCCAGCCAGGCTAGCAGAACAGTAGACAGAAATGAAATCCAGGCCAGGAAAGGAGGGCTTACTCCTGGGTAACTGTGCCTGTTTCTTCCCACCCACCCCCATCCCTAAATAACAGATCATCGTTTATAAAAGGAACATTAAAACATTGAAAAATATTTAATTTTTCCTTAAAACACGATTCACTGGCATTAGAAGACTTGTATGACAAAATTTCCGTTCCATGTGGTGATCTGTGCAGTTCATTAAAAATAGTTTTCCACATTTCAAAGAATGATTTAATACAGTTTGGAAGCTTAGATTGGTACAGGGTCAGTCAGAACTTAGTGACTGCATTTTAAAGTATGTATATGTGTTTGTGTGTGTATACATATACATACATGTATCTGTATTAATGAGAGAGATGTATAAAATCCAGTGCAGCTCACTACTATGTGTTGCTGCTTGGGGAATGCAAATAATTATTAGTTTGTAGGAATTGATATAAACTTTTCTACATCACCCTTCCCAGTCCCTGCACATGCACTCTGGGAACTGGATGCTCCACAGATGTGTCTTTTCACTCAAGTGTTGGAGAAAAAAATGACAGATCAATTCTTCAGAGTACATTAGATCAATCAAGGCAGATTATATTTTACTTTACAGAGGAATGTGACTGCTTCCTGCTTTTCTCCTGAGTGGAGAATGTTATGGTGACTCAGACATGAGGAGAAGCAAGCAGAAAGGTCAAAGCATAGGTAACAGAATCCCTTAGAGCTGCTGCCTGCTAGGGACCCTGACCAGAAGGAGAGCAATGGGATATGTGGGGAACTGCATCCCCCCACCCCAGGACTCTCATTCTGGACAGCCAGTGGATTGCAACACATCAGACATGATGTGGCAAGACAATGCTGACAAACAATATTAATAACAATGCTTTACTGTTGTACAGTGCCTGTTGTGAGAGGGTCTCAGAGCACTTCATAGACATTATGGTATGAACCCTCATAATGCCTCTGTGAAACAGGAAAATGTTACCACTAACATCACATGTTGACGATGGGGAACTGAAGTGCTGGCGACCAGGCTGTGGGTCATGACACCCAGTCCTGGACCAAGTGTCCTTTCAATGACACTCTCGGAATGAGGAATAAGGAAAAAAATTATGTAAGAACACCTGTGCATGCTGAAATGACACTGCTCGAGCTACCAACCTGTTCCAGCACACAAGGCAAGCCATGGGAACACATGGTGCCCAGGAACAAATTGTGGTCATCCAGGGCATGGTGCCTTCCCGAAGAAATTTGCTGAAGATTTTCTGTGGTGGTGATAGAGTCCCTGAAGAGATTTGGCCTAGGAAGCCTTTGTGATGGTTCTTGTGGGACACATCTGCTTGAAACAGTTGAGTGGGTGGAAAAGATGAGGAAACAGAGCTAAGATTTCTTTGGAGGATTATTGCCCAGGTAGGACAACTTAGCAGAGGGCCTGTTATATTTGTCTATCGGAGTAAGAGAAGGCTCTGAGCTCCTGGAGCGCAGCACAGCATCTGCACGGCCTACTTGAGTGAAAAATTTCCGTAGTTGCATCTGGTCCAGCAGCTTCTTACTTCATGAATGAGACATTTAGGTGAAGACTAGAGCTTGAGACATACAACTATGGAAATGGAAAGAGAGGAGTGTTCACCTGCCCATGGCCTCACATGGTCATCTCTGCTCCTCTGTCACCCCAAATCCTGGAGACTCTAGGGTGGACTCTCCTCTCCCACAGTGTTCGCATCTCCCTGCTTGCAGAGGGGAAGATCTTGGCTTTGCTTGGGCCAAGAGAGAGTGGAAGAGCCCCAGAACCTCAGCAGGGACTGCCTCCCCACCAGCCATGTGCGTTTCTCTTCTCTGCACAAGAGTCACAAACTTTGGTCTGTGGGAAGGTCAGCAAGGGCAATATTTTTACAGGGATTGCCTTCTGTGAAGAAATATCCAGTGACTGAGCTGAGGAGCTTGGAGGTAGTCAGGGGAGAGAAGTGTCCGTCAAGGGAATGGTTCAGGAGATGAGGTGTGAGCCTTCTCTCTCGTCCCTCCCATGCCGTGAACTGCCACCCTGATCCATAGGCAATTCTGGTTGTTGCCCAGAATGATTTTGCGCAAGGCTGCAAGGTAATGACCATCTGAATCACGGAGACTCTTATTTATTCCTTCCCAACTCAGTTTCCGTCAAACAAAGCCCCAGGACTTCTCACATATGGGGTCCTTTCTGAACATAGTGTCCATCAGGAGGGGCAGAAGAAAGCTCATGAACTAGGACCAGCAGCCCCAGGACAGTCTGGGAAAGTAAAAGGCCACATGGTGACCCCACTGAGACCTACCTCTAAATCCCACCAGGGGAAGACAGTATGCTTTTCCTGCCTTCCCTGCACAGAAAAACCTAGTACTGCATCGCAAACCTCCACACAAGACTGAAGCTCTCAACAACCTACAATAATTGTATGCTACAGGACTGACGTGTTAAGATGGGAACGTCATTAAGGCCAGGAGGTGGGAGGCATTTCAGGGGAAGGAGGATGGCAGAACTAATTTAAATGAAGTCTAGTGAAAAAAAGACGCAGGGCAGGAAGTCAGGACGTGAAAAGAGAAGTACTCTATGGGGATGTGTTTACAGCCTGAAGTCAGTCATCACTTCACCCGGAGGAGGGAGTATGCCTGCTGTTCGCATTGGCATCATGGGTGTGTGCATGTGCTGAGGCTTTGAGTGCACACCATGGACATGAGTGCTGGAGAGTGTCCAGCATGAACAGTTAGAGCACAGGGTCTGGCTGGCCTTCAAAACCTCTGAGACCCTTTCCTGGCCACAGAAGTATGTTCTAGTGCGAGTTAGTTCTACAGAATTTGATGGGAGCACAAACACAAGGGAAAAAAAAACAAACCAAAACAAAAACCAGCAGAAAACAAAGCAAAGTCCAATCTGGCTAGAAAGCCAAAGATAAAACCCTCACAAATTCTAGACCCACGAGTCTATGTTTTAAAGATTTTATAAATATACAGTATCTAATTAGCATTACATCAGATATACAACATGCCCATTTATTATAATTATGCTGGATATATAATTTATATGCATGAAATGTAACTGTCTTCATGGTTAGGATTAGTACTCAGTGGAATTGGAATTTGGAAGGTTTTCTTGAGGGGGCCCATTACATGGAGAGAAAAAGATGGAAAATTACCGACCCGCTTTTCGATAAACAGGCACCCTCAGCTTTTTGCTTCTGCTAAGGGCTAGAAAAAGATTTGCTACATATGGAGTTCTAGGTTGCAACTGAGAGGAGAAAATATGTTCAGAAACAGGGGAACCGGGCCAGTGGAAAATGTTATCAGGAAAATAAACTTCTGGGGAGAAATCCAGGCTCAGTGAAACGTGGTAGCCTTGCCTTGCAGGGGTCTCAGTGGAGTCAGGACTACCCGCAGCACAGGTCTGCAGCGTGAAGCTGAACAAATCCGGGTGCTTTGGTTCAACAGTGGTAAGAAGCTGGAGGAAGAGAAACCCTATTCCTCCTTCCTATTTACACGTTGGAGACACCGAGATACTAGAATGAGTGGAGAAAAGAGTCTAACGAGCATGTCAGCGTATTTGTGCTTATTGAACACATCAACCCCACTACTTCCTACACTGAGAGAGCAGGCGATTTGTAGGCACTAGTATATTTTTATCTTATGAGTATATTTAATATAAACTAAACCTTTATTTCTCAGCCAGGCTATTCTTGTCCCTAGATCTGCCAGTCCCCTAGGAAAGTCTGCCCTTGAATTCGCTCCAAGGGTAAGAAAGAACAGATGTATGGGTGCTGGCTGATATCCAGTGGTCTGGAGGTGATCCCCAGCAGCCAGAAGCTTACCCACTTGCTATAAAAAGGCCAAATATGAGGGCTGGCATGAGGACCAAGAACAGGGCCCCTTCCCACCAGGATGAGGTGCTGCTTTTCCTCCTCCCTGTCTTGGGCTGCATGAGACTGCTTCTACTTGTAGCAACTGAAAAGTCCTAAATTCATAAAAAGAATGAGATAATGCAGGTGAGCCCTTGGAAGGAGCTGTCTACTACTATGGCTTTCTTTGACAGAAACTGATGCACATCAGGAAATTTCCTCTATTATCCCTCACTATTGTCTGTTAGCTTGCTTGGGTTCTTCTTATGTCACTGATGAAGGGGTGGCTTTAAAAACAACAACGTGGATGGGACTGTCAGAGAAGTCTTTTCAGATACTGAGTTATTAGAGGTTATCTTGGCCTATAAGGCCACTGCAGTATGGGGTGCTGTGGCCACCCCAGTCCTTAATGAGTATCTACAATGCACAAGGTCATATCAAACAGTCACCTCTGTTTTGCTCGCTGTGCGATAGTGATGGTGTCCTGGAATATAATGCAGTTGTTCTACCGTGTTGTGCCGTCGGGAGGCGAACGCTTGGCGCTTGGCAGAGGTTGGGTTCATACCTAAGGTATTGTACAAGTTATTTGAGGCACTAGGATGGGAGTGCATTTTTGTCATCCTGTAGCGATCCAAGACAGGTGTTGATACAAAGACGTCTGTGTGTGACAATGCCCGCGACATAGACTGCTCGGGGTACCCCGACCGCTCCGGGGAGAGCAGGGGGTCTTGGGAGTGGAGGCGCTCTGCGGACAGAAGCTGCTCATCTGAGAGGATCCGTTCATAGGACATGCTAAACTCCTCGGGCATGATCCTCTCAGGAGACAGCACTCTGTCCTGGGACATGGCCCTGATGGGACGGCGAGGCCTGTCCCTGTGGTTGGTCTGTTGAGACATTTTGATGACGTTGATTGGGAGCGTGCCCCGGGCTGCCAGGTCGGGCAGGTGTCTCCTCCTCATGTAGTATTCATCAGCCTCTTTGTCAGCTGTGGGAAAGGAAAGGGAACAGTTAGGAATGTAAGAGCGTTGTCCCACATGGTGAAAAGGGGCTGTGTACAGCACATAGCCTTGGAGTAACCTCCTGGTGAGATACGAGGGACCCTCTACCAGCAGCTGGACCTGGGCATGGACATCCATGTCAGGGTGCTGCCTGTCAGAGAGACACCAGCCCTGTGTGGGTTGTGTCACCATGGGCCTACTGCAGACAGAGAGAGTTGGAATTGCATGCAGACAGGAGTAAATCCCTGTGCAATGCAGCACACCTTCTCGCACCATGACACAACAGACTCCATAGGATGTTGAGTCCAGACTGTGGTACTGCATGATTTACACGAACGGCGAGTTATAAATTACCAAATGTCACCTGCACAGTAGACTTCTAAAGAAAGCATACAGAAGGTGAGCTGAGGCAAGAAAGTTCCGCATTTGAGGAAACTCATACCTTGTTTCTGGCCTCAGATGTGGATGTGCTCTGGAATCCACCAGTGCCCTCATCACATTTCTAATTACTATTTTTGAATATTTGCAAATGTTATCACAAAGCAGGTTTGGGGGGAATGGGATGTTCTCTCCGAGACAATGAATCATCTGCCTAAGGTTTCTTTTTCTGTTTTTTTCAGACACCTTGGTTGGTATCATAGAATTTATCCCATGGTGAGTTTCTTTCTCAGCTTGCTGCTTCTGTGTCTTAAATGATCGCTGTGTTGCACAGCAACTCAGCACACACACACGCGCACACACACACACACACATGCCCATCCTTCTCTTATTGGCTTTCAGACAGATGCCTCAGACTCAGAGAGGATGTTGGTTGCTGGAGATGTACCCTGATATATCACTTCAATCCTACAGCAGCTGGAATGATCTGATTCAACCAACTTGTAGTTTGAAGAAGCAACTCCACAATTATTTCAGATCTAAAAAAAACCCAACAACAGAAACACAAAAACTTTCTGGTAAACCCCTTTGATGCTCATATGCCTTAAATTGTGGTAGTGGGATTACCTACCTGGAAGCAGGAATAGCAGTTCTTGGGCTTCAAGCCCGGTGCATCTTGTGACCTGTTGTGATGTACCTGTGGCTGCAGAGGTGTAAAGCACGGAACACCGGTCCCTTACCAGATGTATACTGTCATAGGTGGAAGAGCACAGTGCTGGCCTTTGTGGGTCAGGGGATGAAGGCATGTTTAATGCTCAACACCGATCATCTGTATGCGCCTTCCTCCTCATTTCTTTGTCTAAGATGTTTTCTTGATGTGTCCAAAAACATCTTCCATCCTTTCTGGCTCATCAGCGACGTCAGAAGACCCCAGAGTGAGACGTATCCCAGACACCTGGCAGGCAGCCATCCTCTCCTTGGAGAGCGCAGCACAACACCCACTGGTGTGCGGGAAAAGGATTCCTCAAGCAAAGGTAAAGCAAATTCTCCACCTTACAGAGGAAACAAGGTCTCTTGCAAAGTAACTTAATGGGAACAGCCTGGCACAGGCACTACAGAGCTGAGAACAAGCACCAGTCTTGAGCTGAGTGTTGATGGGCAAAGACATCATCTGCTATATGTCCTGGCCAGCTTCCGGGACCTATCCTAAAATTCCTTTGGAAAGTTTCTTGCTTATAAGACAAGCCTGATAAAGATATATGATAATCATAACAAAGAGGAACCCTAATGATTTTCTCTGCTCCAATACTTCATTCAGTAGTAGGTGATGTAAGATGGGAAAGTATCAGATGGTGGAAGAGGAAAATCTCACATGCATAGAGTTTCTGAGGATTTTTGAGTGATAAAAAGAGCAAAGCTCTGCTGCAGGACAGTCTGGACAATCGTGAGGCAGGTGAGGCAGATAGTCCCACTTCCGATGCTCATAGACTCTGTAGGCATTCAACAGACCTAGTAGTTAAATATAGTGTGAAAATTTCCTATTTCCTCTGACATAGCCATAAATCTATAGGTTTTATGCACCACATTGGCTGAGAAATGAAGACAATTGGCTGGCTGTCCCACAATAGGCAGAGAGCTTTCAGAGGAAGTCAATGCCTTACGACATGTGATTGGTGCTGACAACATCCCAGAAGTTTGCTCACAAGACAACAGTTACGCATTGGTGCCTTAAGGTCTTCAGCCAGACCCTGGGGTCCCGTAAGCATCCTGGGCTGGCTGATCTCACTCACTAGTTTCCTCATCTCCTCTCCCACACATTCATCACTCTCTTCAGAGCCCCTGGACCATGCTCCTCATGGTCCTGCAAACAGTCCATGTAACCCAGAGGATCTGTGAGGAGGAGGGTTGTTCCCTCTGTCTCAGTATCCAAACGTACAAGCTGAGCACGTGTGCTGAAATGCACGGCCTGTTGGCACTGCGGTTGCTACCAACCTCTTCTTTATAGCCTACACACCACCAAGGCATGAGGATTGCCCAGAGCTCTCCCCTACTGGCATGATTGCTGCTGATGGGAATTGCTCTCTAGAGTACATATTGTAGGAATGAGTCTTTTTTGCAATCAACACCTGCTTGGAAGAGTATCTCATCGCAAATGTCAGACAGCAGCTTCCCTGGCCTCAGACTCTTGTGTCTTTAAAATCACCTTCTAGGAAGCCTGCGAAGTACTGGGGAAATTCCATATGACCAGAGTAATTTTAGACATTTTAATTCTATAATGTGGCCATTGATAGACTTTCACACACTTAGTGTGCACAGGCTTGATAATGATGCTTGAGGCTGGGTGCAGAATAGGAGCTAAGCAATTAGCACTCTGGCACTTGGCCTCTGCTCTGGGTGAGAGAAGTTCCACTGGATTTGCCCAAGTGCCTCTAAATAGATGTAATTAAAGCAGAGAACATCCTAAATGGAGATGTGCTTGGATGCTCGCACCTGGCTGTGGTAATTGCCAGCAGGAGCTAAACCAGCTTATGTGAGGTTTACAGCGGTCTGAGTCTGCTAGTCAGGCGGCAGAATCAGCAGCTTAACAGTGGTTTGAAGTTGTTCCTTGCTAATTTGGATAAAAAATGCAGCATGCTCTGTACTTCAAAAGTTTTGCCAATTAGGAGCATTAAAAATATAATTTCCTTCCCCCTTCCATCCCTGTAAACAGTGTAGAAGTCTGCATGGCTTTTTCCTGGCAGTGGCTAAACCATTCAGGGAACTGAATTCACTTCGAAGGTGTTTCTAAGCTCGTACAGGCTGTCTTGTCCTGTGATGCCGAGAAACTTATTTAGATGTTGGCATAGCTATTCCGGGAACATTTTCAGGTGTAGACAAACTTCACACCTCCATCTCAAAAGAATCAAAGCCAAAACGGCAGTTTCCCATGAATAACATGCTGGTTTAAGCAGGCACCAGACAGACATTTAACAGGCTGTTGCTTCTGCAAGGTGGTGTCAGTTCATGAGCATTGCTGAACCAGTCATGGAGAACGTAGCACGACGAGAGGCTGAACATGCCGTATCACACACGTGCCTTCACACTGAGGGAGAAGCTCAGCACAGCTCTGTAACCGCAGCGTTTCTGCACCCTGGGAAAGCAATGGAACGCTACAGCTCCAGGCTTTTGAGACTGGAGGCATGAGGTGCTTCACCCAGTGGGTGGGGGTGGGAACTGTGGACATCTGGTTTTATAGTTTGCTAAAATCAAAATGTTTCCAGGACCAGAAACCATCTAGCCTGATTCATCTCATCCTCATTGCGCCAGCAATTTCACTGGGATAGCGAGGCTCTGATACTGCTATCCTTCTCTTCCCATTGACACGCATATGAAAACTGACATTTGTAATTTTAGCCAAAACAAAATTACAATCAAATAGGTTTCTCCCTCATGGATGTGCTTAAAAATTAAAAAATGTGTCCTAAGTGAATTCCAAAAGGCCATAACTGATGAGCAGACAGAAAGAAATCCCTGCTCTATTGATTGACAAAAATGTCTCTTTTTTTGAGCCAATCATCTCATACCTCTGGGGCTTCACTAATGCTTGTCAAACACGTGGGACTGGAATTACTGGAAATCACATTTTCTGCACAATTTCTGCCATTGTTTTCATTGTTTTTTTGTTTGGTTTCCCCCACCCCTTTCTTTCCTTTCTTTGGCACTTTCTGGGACATTGGCCAGGGCTGTTCTCAGCAAACTTCAGGAGTGTTTGAGTGCTTCATCTGACTTGGCTTTAGGGAAAGCTGATTTGCCCTCAGGCAGCATTTTTTTCCCTCCTATTTGAAGGGAGAGCCCCAAATGAGTGGTCTTACACATCTCACCTCAACATGTCTAAGATGCCATCGCAGAAAGGCAGAGCTCAGCTCCTCTGACGCTGTAATTAGAGAAATGAGCTACATTTGTGGCCATCTGCGAAGAGATTGTGGGAAAGCCAAGGATATTATTTCTTCCCATGGTTGTATGTGAACATGGTGAAAATCTGTTCATATGTGTATGTATGTAAGGCTATCATAGTAATTTCTTTGCTCTTCTTAAAGGTATTATCTTTGCTTTTCTTCCTCTGCAGTTCCAGTGTATTTCCTCCTTGGGCTTGTCCTTTTTTTAATTGGCTTTAACATTTTCAAGCTGCCCAGCCATTTGTGAGGTTTCTTTAGCCAATACCAAGTGGTTTAATATGCCTGAAAGTATTAGCTTCCTTCCTGACTGACCTTTCTCACTTAGCTAGAAACAGCAATTCCCCGGAGCGCTGGGCAGGACAGAATTAATACGGCTGCTCTCGCTCAGCTGCGTGTTCCCACACCCACCCACCACTGCTCTTGCCACGCTCCAGTCTGACAGGGCTGCCAGGGCACCGCTGGCACAGGGCTTGCCACAGAGGTGGTACCCTGCCCCTTGGAGATCCTTCTACCTGGCTTCACAGGCAGCAACCACGGATGGGTTTTGTGTTGTCTGTGCCCTGAAGTAAGAGTTAGGGAGGTAAACAGCCATGGAAGCAGAGAGCTCACTGCTTGCATGGGACCTGGTTCTGGCTGGCTTCTATGCAGCCAGCAACCTGTTTCCTACTGCTCCGTAGGAGGCCTGGACTTCTTTAAGCCCTTGCTCTGGAAGGAGAAGCAGCCGTGGTGCTGCTTTCTCAGCCAAATGCCAGCAGGGTTGAGTGCCTGCCTTGCAAATCCAGTGGTGAGGCGCTCCCCTCCCCAAGCTGGGCGCAGTCCCCAGGGACGCACAGGTGCAGGCAGCAGGTATAGCTCATCTCTTCCTTGTTCCACGAATCGCTTAGATGAGTCTCCTAAAGTGGGGTGTAATTCATTAAGCTCTAGGCATCAAAAATTAGACTTGTTATCAGCAAAGCGGTAGGAAGATTGCCAGATCAACTCTGGTGTCGATGAGAGACTGAGACCTCCAGAGGGTTTCTCATAATTTGGAGACAACTGTCCTTCTTCACTGATTATAGAGATGTCTGCACCGAACAAAAAGATAAGATGCCTGATTGCTGGATAGCTAAAGTAGGGTGAGGTGGATCTGACCATAGCCTTGCTGAGCTCGGTCACCTCATCCCTGGCAAGGAGATACTAAATATTCTTTCTTCCTGGATGTGCTTTGGTTTTCAATTTGGATATTCTTGGGCAGAAACTGTCTTTCACTATTTGTGTCTGTTAACTGTGGGAAAGTAAGTGACCTGTAGCTGCCTGGGAAGCCTGAAAAAACTCAGAAAAATAGCTGAAACATAGATTAAAAAAGTATCTAATGACTTTTGTTTTACTTGAATGGAAAGATTATGTTTGTTAATGAGCTCTTCACAACATTCATTTTTTTTAACCATGACAGGGAGTTCATTAGAAACAAGTAATTTTAAATATGAAAAATAAACCCGCAATAATTCATTTGCAAAGTCTAGCATTAGATATTACTTTTTCCGGATTTTGAGTTACCTTTAGTTCCTTCATATGTCATAAGAAAGCTATTTTGCTGGCATTTTACAAGGGAAGGTCTAGGAGCTGGGTGCCTATTTTCCTTTGGCTCCAGAGAAGACCAGATATAAGAAAGTGATTCAGTGATTCTAGAGGTGCTGAGCATATGCAAGTCCAATGGGAGTGTGGAGTGCTTAACACTTTTGCCAGTGAAACTACTTATGTAGTTACTGAGACGTACAACGTGAGGCAGTTGGTTTGGCATTTTTCAGGTGCTTTGCAAGAGGATGGCTTGGTGCCTTGCAAAGATGACTGAACTATATCTAGGCCTGCCATTAATGGCTAAATAGCTGGTATTTCCATTGCAGTGCACAGGGATTCCCTTCCAGGGTTGATGCTGATGAAAATTTAAGGGGGTGAATGAACTCCACTCTAGCAAATGGCCAACGACTAACTCTCATGTTCGTAGATTCAGGCTGACTGCCAGGTATCCTCTCAGTGGGGACAGCGATGCTAAGTGCCCAGAGGGTCAGGAAAAGCTCAAGAGAGCGAGATTGACTATGCTCAGCACATTCTTCAGGACATTTAAGCTTGGCACCTTAACACAAGCCCATTTTTGTCATTTTATACAAATACCTAGGAAATGCAGTGCTAGAGTTCATTAATTATTCCCTTCTGGTGTGATCTACTGAGGGGTAGGGTGGAGAGGTAGACGCCTGTCCTTCTTTCAACTGCTGAGCAAGATTTTCTGCACCCAATGGGTCAGACTGTGAAGACACCGCTTAGTAAAGTATGGCTCATTGCACTGATGGCATTGCTTGGTGTGAATGAATTTATACTCAGTGTGAATCAGATAAGCATTGTAGGAGTAGGTAGATGATAGTGTTCAAATCTGACAGATATTTCCAGATGTCGGCTGTGTGAGGGGTGGGAGTTTCAGTTAGCGTTCATCTGTGGCTTTCTGATGGTCCACTGAGATACTTCAATAACTTTAGCACAGAGCTGAAGGAGATTTCACCGAGCACCTACGCACAATATGTAAAGTAATAAATAAAGCACAGGCTGGAAGAGGTCTTGACTATCCCCTGCATCATGACAGGAGCAATAATTGTTGCTGTTCCTGGTGAACACTTCTCTAACCTGTTCTCAGTGATGCCAGGACAGAGATCTCCCAGATTCTGAGTAGGAAGTATGTATCCCAGGTAAACCCAGAAACTGCAAAACAACTGCAAATGAAACAGCAGTTTTCGGTGCTGTTCAGGGGTATATTTTTTGGGCCAAAAAATTTTCATTTCAGCTGAGAAATGAAAATAAGTCACCACCTCAAAACGTGGACATTTTAAAGAAGTGATATCACAATGGCATGATTTCAAGGGTTTTCCAGTATCTGATAGGGTCATCAAAGCTGCTCAAGAACATGGACAGTTCATCACTGGGATGTAGCGAGGGAAAAATTCTTATGGTTGGGAGTGTGATACCCAAATGTTACCAGGGAACAACGCTCATGGCAGAAGAAGAGTTGTGCACATGACGCACTGAACAGGGAAGATGGCAGGCTCCAATCACAAAATACCTCATCTCTGTTCTCTAACACAGTTAAGCACATGCTTGCTTTTAAGCACATCAAATGCATTTGCCTTAATGTTAAACACGTACATAAGTCCACACTGAAGTGCCAAGGAGTGGGCTGAGATTTTTATGTGCTACATTTCCATTCCAATTTCTCTTCTGGAAAATCTTCCACACAGCGATTTGGTATGGACAGTTCAAAGGTTTCCCAGCCACTTTATTTTGTGTGTCTCACTTAGCTGGCTAAATTGGGAATGCATATAGACTAAAGGAAGTAGGAACTGCTCCTCATCCTCACCTACCTTCTATGAAGCTATTGTAAGTATAAACACCTAAGTTACTTCTTTAAATTAGGCAGTGTGAATAGGTGGCTGCATCCAGAAAGTGTTCATGGAAACATACTATAAACGTAGTGTCTGAGTCTATAGGGAGCATTTGCCTGCACAAATAGCACTTATTTCATAATCCCACCAAAGCTGAAGCATTTGCTATCTGTAAAGTTGATGGGCTGGAGCCTTGCAGGAAAGTTGGCAGAACAATGCAATACATAAAACACCAAGAAAGAACACATACTATCTAGAGTGAACAGGGCAGTGAGCAACTTGCTGAAATATCAGAGACACACCATGGATCAATGTACGGCACAGGTCAGGACCGGATCTGGACACATACACCATGAAACAGGGCAGATCGCAGCACTGCTCAAGGCAGGCAGATGTGTTCCTACTGAAATAGATGCTCCCAACCATTTCAGCAGGTTTCTGTTGGCCTGAGTTTGTCATCTGAGTTCCAGCTACCCCCCACGGGTGGTGGGATATCTGCCCTGGGTGTGCCGAGGCGAGCTCAGCTGATCTGAGGCAGCCAGCTTGGCTCATCTCGATTCCAGAAGAAAGAAAAAGGATTCTCAGATGACTCTATCAGGAGCAGATACAAGGCAGAGCACTGGTAGGCAGCACAGCAAAGAGGTCAGCAAGCAAATCACCACGTGTGCTCTCACAGTAATGAAGTGACTCTTCCTCTGTACCTTTCCTTGATGGGAGGTGACAGCCAAAAGAATCATTACTGGAGATGCCAACTTGGGCAGTACAACGACAGATAGAAGATTATTGCCTTAATATTGTGCCCACTGTGGCTTACAAGCCAATGAAAATCAAAGGAAGTGAAATGAGCTGACACCTACTTAGTCTCTTCAGAGAAGAATATTTACTTGGGTTTGTCTTGACGGCAGACTCATAGGATGGTGGGAGGTGAGAGAGGTTCTGGAAGGACCGGGAGAAGGACAGATCGTAGGGTTCAGTGGCAGAAGTAAGGATGTTGTTCATTCGCGGCTTGTCTGAAAAAAACCAAACAGAGAAAGTCATGTCCACAGTGTGCACCAAAACAAGTTGAGAGAGGCAAGCCATTCCCACTAATGCCAGCAGGGAGAGGAGCTGTATCTGAGCCAGCCTCAGTGGCAGGCTGTTGGACATAATTCAAACTGGCACGGCAGATTGGTGAAAAATGCATCCCGTGACATTGTTTCCTTGTCCACAGTGACTATAGAGAGAGGCATACTGCTGCCTCGAAAGCATGTGGACCAGCCAGTCCTCCTCACGTCAGGACAGAGGATCTGACAGACTGTGAGTCACCTCGCTGACCATGGAGGGCTGGGTCACGGTGCAGTGGACTGACCCCACTGCAGCCTGCCTCAGTTCAGGCAGCATCACCTACCTTTACCCCAGGAAGCTGTGCTTTTCCCACCCTCAGAGCCATAGGAAGGAGTCTATGGGTTTATTTTAACTGGGACTGATAATCAAATTGCTCTCATCACGCCATATTTTCAATAAATGCTCTGAACCTGGAGGCTCCTGGGCAAAGCCATTTCTTGGGCCCAGGGGTTCTGGTGGAATCTAGAGATGGTCATGCTTCCCCTGCACATAGGAAAGCATGAAGCGGAACTGTGGGGTGCACATCTGGGTGCAGACAGAAGACAAGGCAAGGTTTGGAGAGGTTCCTGAAGCAGGAAAGGAGGTGCCTTCCCTGAGGGATGGAGGATGACCCTCTACTTATTTTCGTTTTGTTGGTCACGGAGGGAGTCCCCAGCCAGTATCAAAATGCCCTCTGTCAGGATGCTACCCTGCAGGCACTGTCAATAAAGATTAGCACTGAGCCTGGATGCTAAAAGTCAAGTCCAGACAATCTGCAGAGTTTATCTGGTATTGAAAGCATGGTCCTTTGCTGCAAGCTGGGTGGAAGATGGCCTTTCATCAGTTCAGCCAGAGGACAGGGACCTGTTGAACTGTATTTATAACTCCCAGGTGTTCAGATATTAAAATAGGCAGAGATAAGAGTGTTAAAAATAGCAGGAGCTTCAATTATTAGAAGCATACCTAGAACAGACTACAGTAGGCTCTGTGGGAGCTTGCAGCAGTGACGGGATGGCATTAACTGGGTCAAAAGGCCAAGGAGGTAGTCACTTCAATGGTCTGAAGATGAAGTCACAGGGTGAAGTTCTCTGACACAGCTGAGGAACAGCAGAATGCCTAAGTCTTGGGTTCACACTCTCCTGTTGTGCATGCTCTAAAGTGTGCTCATGAAGAGCAACGCAACATGTGCTCAATATACACTCAGGTTCCTTAAGACCCTCTTACCTCCGCTGAACAGTGGACTGGTTGAGATTAAAGCACAGCTTCTGCCCAAAAGTAATTGAGCAGCAGGGGAACTTCACCTCGACAAACGTGTTGGCTGTGTGCAATGTCCAAACATTTGCTAACTTCCCTCATCTCCCACAAAATTTTAAACAAAATCTACCCGAGTAGAGTGCAGATATTTCAGAAGACATTTTTATAGAGTCACAAATTAAACTGTTTCCTGCAAAAAAAATTTGCAGGAGTCAGGCCATCTCCTCGCCTGCTGCCTTTCTCCTGCGTGGAGTCCTGTTTGTGTTAGATAGAACATCTTCCTCCCCATTGAGTGCTCACGTTTCACTACGTTCTTGGTGCTCTCAGTTGCCCAGAAATGGCCCCAGCAGTTCCCACACCTGCCTGCATGTGAGGATGCAGCTCTGCCTCCGCAACTTTTCTCCCACTGTGACTTCCCCTAGATATTTTAAAGCTTCCATCACCTACCCTTCACATTGCACACATGCTTCTCACTCAAAGACAGGCTGAGACAGTCTGGTCTTCCAACACAAACCTGCTCGTGATTTCCCAAAGCCAGGGTGGTCAGACTACTGCTCTGCAGCTATCAGCAGAGTTACATGCTCAGTTCTCAATTCAGATGCACCTGAGCTATTTGGGGTATGCCAGGGTATCTAAGACACCCACAAAGGGCTGGAAGGAGTGATGTGGTGCCTGTCAGAGATCTGATGCCACCCATGTTTAGGCACTTGAATTACAACTACCATGTCAACAAACCCAACGCTTGCTCCTTCCTGCCCCTGTCATCACTGATTCCATGCACTCTGCGGCTCCACGAGCATCCTCACAACAAAGCTTCCTGAAGAAGAAATCACAACAATCTAGTCTTTCCCAGCTATGTCCAAGGTATGACCATGAGTGGAAAAACAGCTTTCTCTCCCCTTAAGCACCAGTCTAGCACCAGCATATGATACCCCATCTTGTGTGATCCCCCACCACTGTAAGCACAGCAAGGTGAGGGGGAAGGAAACTGCTCTATAAAGAACAGGAGCTTGGGGCGTTTCAGCAAGTACCTGCATGTTGTCCTCTCGGTTCAACAATGGACCATCAATGTCAGCCACCCAGCAGAAAAGGAACAGCCCAGCTCACTGCCAGAGAACCATTTTGTTCCCAGTTCTGTGAAATTATGAGGCACTTTCTTACATGATTTAGCAATGGTGAAAATTTGTTCTTAACAATGCAATAACAAACTTGGTTAATAAACTCTTCTTTCCTATTGCTTATGTGTGTCTCTGCACTCCTGGAATAGGGTTATTGTCTGGCAAAAAGAACATAGCCCCAAGTGAGCACATCATTGCTAATGTGTCATCTTTCTGAGAACATTATTTTCTTGCTGATGACTTCAATCCATGTCTAATAGACTGACTGCAGGATTAGGAAGTGCATCTTATTCATCAGGGCTCTGGAAACAATTGATTAGATATTATCCAGTAAACAGAGACTATATCAGCATTGAAACTATGTCCCCACTTCTATTTGTGCTTGTGTGGCAAGGACCCTTGGGTAACATCTCTTTGCAAATTTCTCAGCCAGAACCTGTATCTAATCTCCATTTTGCATGGAGGTTTGGACATGCTGAAATAAACCCAGTCATATGTATGGAATTTGTGTTCGGTGCCAAAGCAGGAGCATTAATTGACTGCTCGCATGAGGTGTGTGAAATAAAGTGCCACACATTTATCTGATGGGCTTGTGCAGAATCAGTACGTCTTCTCACTGCTTTTTCCATCCAGTCAGCCAGGAACAGACAGTAATGATTTTGGCAAATGAGAAGTCACCTTGAAATCTACTACCTATCATTCAGCAAAATAAGGGATAAACTGAAATGACCAAAGATAATTTCAGATGTCTTTTGCATAATGTAGCTTGAGGGCAAGATCAGAGAACTGACAGACTCTAGTAAGGAAAAATATCTTGTGCAATTTATATTCTGGGACCAGTTCAACAGAATTTTCCTGATATTTCTTCACTCCTGCAATATGTTTGAACCTTGCTTTTCTCTAGTTTCTCTCCTTTTTGTTGGTGGTGTTTATTGGCCCCTTTGGAAGATGCAGGAAATAATTAATGAACAGAATGTAAACAAAAAGTTCTCCCCATTCCTTGCAAGGCAGCTGAGCATGTATGCTGCTCTGTTCCCCAGTATTCCCACTTATTTGCAGTCCAGCTCTACATTCTGGGCAATGGGAAGTGACCACTGGAAAATGGATGCTGTCCCATGGTTACTGGGATTACCTTTGAAAGTCAGTTTGTCAGTATTCAGCCACATTTTTCTCATCATCATCCTGCAGCCACATGCCATTGTATGCCTCTCTGATACATCCTGAATTCTGGGCACAAAGTTATTTGCAGAGGAGCATGGAGGAAATGAACCTCATGCAGTGCATAGCACATACAACAGAGAAGGGAACATCATCCAGCAGTGTCATTTCTCTTGGTTTCTAAATTCTCTTTGCTTACAGACTTGAAGCAACCACAACTTGTTACAGCCAATGCAGCATCCTATCGCTGTCTCTAATTCAATAGGAAAGCGCTCAACTCTGCAGCATTTCCGCATGTACTGAGCATCAGTGGTTTCACAGTGCTCTGACCAGAGTGCCATGTTGCTCCAGCCACTGGCAGGGCTGATAGCATGGTACTGCACAGCCAGAAACTCACTGGGCTGCACAATGTTGGCATGACAAGATCAGGAAAGGAGCAGGCATCTCTGTGGAGAAAGACTCTTCCTTTGCAGCTCTAATCTCTCTTTCTGAACATCTACCAAGCAAGAACTGTGCCCTTCTTCTGCTTCATGAGACAGAATTGTTGGGCCAGTCCAAACCCTGTTGTATTTCTGTGAAACCCAGCAGACTCATGGGCCAGGCTCAGAAAGGCTCCCCTGCTCCATTCAGACCAGACTCTTGCACAAAAACTGGTGAAGGTGCCTCCCTGGAGCAGACCGGCAGAGATCTGTGCGCTTGAGGAACCAGAAGCACTGCCTGCAGTGATGGACTGCCACAGGAACATGTTTCCTGCTACATTCTGTATCCTGAAAGGGGACTATGGCCTGTGGTTGGCATGTCACCCCCACTGATGTCAGGGGGCTGCAGTTCCATCTGTGCACTGGGGACTGCAATTACAGCTGGCCTCTGAGAGGACATATGGATTCACTCCTCTGCTTGATGCATGCACTCGACTGGTTTGTAATCTATGAAGGAAAGCAAGTGACTTTAAGTTGAGCGAGACCCTCATTTCACTGTCAGTGCTTTGCAAACTTTCTGCAAGCACAAGGCTCCGAAGCAGTTTCAGGATTTCTAAAGCTGGAGACTTGTGTTGAGGAGGTTAGACCTGAAGTCTTCTTGAAGTGTCTTGCTCTGTCCCTGTTCTTACAAGACAGTTTCAGTTTCAAAGTGTGTTTGCATGAGGTGCAGAACCTTTCATGTACAAGGACAGGAGCAGATGACACCCAAGACAAAAAAGTGAATTTATGGCAAAGTTTTAAACAAAGCTCAAGTGGTAAAAGTGATGTGCTCCATATTTGCATACGAGTCTGCACATATGTTGTGTGAATTTTGCAAGACATTTCAACAGATGCCTTTTGAAACATTCACCCAGAGAAAGCAAACAATGTCACCTAGGAGAAGCTGATACAACCAAGCCTTCTGCTGCTCAGCTTCAG